AAAAAAAAAAAAAAAAAAAACAAAGAAACTCCATTTTCAAGAAAAAGAGCCTCCTCTAACCTCCTGATCCCTAAGCAGTAGTTCTAGGGATCTTCTGAGTGAACAACAAACCCTTTGAATCTTTGAACCATCTGTTGTCAGAGAAATGAGGAAGGCTGAGAAAGTCAGTGTGTACACTACAAAAACATGACAGCCCTAGGGCTGAGGGTGGGCTCAGTGAAGTGTGCACTTGGTGTGCACAAAGCTCTAGGTTGGATCCCCAGCATCTCACAGACACAGAAACATACACACACACACACACACACACACACACACACACAGGTTACTTTTGCAAACCTAACAGTTGGGCCTAGTAATTAATTAATTAGCCAACAGTGAAAAACTGGTATGGCTGGAAGATGAAACAATGACTAGTCAATGACACTATACAGCCAGGTGTAGTGGCACATGCCCGTGATCCTGGCATTCTTGGGAGGCTGAGGCAGAAAGACCACTGTAAGTATGAGGCCAGTATGGGCTATATACAGTTCAAGGCCAGCCTGGAACACAGGGACCATATCCCAAAAAGGGGGAGGGGGTCTGGGGATGTGGCCCTGGGTGAAGGCCCTGGGTTCAATCCCCAGTACTACCAAAAAGAAAAAGAAGAAAGAAAAAAATAGACACTATCATCTACTTCATATAACCAATAGTCACCTGGTTACACAGGTGTTCCTCACAACCACATAGGTAAATTTACCACCACGAGGGTTGAAAATGCACAAGGGTTGTAAAGGGTCTGGTGAAGGCCTAGGAGTGAAAAGGGAAATTAAAGATTGTACGATCACTGTGTCCCATAGCGGCACCATAGACGTTTCTGGGAGGACAACACTTCATTGTTTGGGCACTGTCCCAGCACTAGAACAAATCCACTGCCAGGCCCTGACATTTCCCGCCAACTAAATGCTGGTGACTTGAGGGGGCAGTGTTGTGACAACAACCACACCAGGGTCCCTACATGATAAGAGGTATACCTGCCGGAGCGGGGAGTAGTGAGACCACCGGCCATGCTGAAAAGGCAAAGCCTACGATGGCTGACAGGAACAGAGTCATAGCAGGAAGATACTGCAGGTACCTGAGAACATGGATTCAAGGCCTAGAATAGAGCTGGGCACATTCTCTTTCTAGAGGTCACCTGTTCTCAAACTAAGAAACTTTTTTTTTTTTGTATTTTTGAGGCAGGGTCTTGCTATGCAGTTCAGGCTGGCCTCAAACTTGCAACAATCCTCCTGCCTCAGCCTCCCGAGTGCTGGGATTACAGGTGTGCGCCACCATGCCCGGCCAATGTGGTGATCTTGACACAATATTTTAACTAATATACTCCAAGTTTTTAAAATAAAAATAAGGCCGGCCCTTCAACTTTTCTTTTAAACAATATAGCTATGACTCTGGATGTCATGGGTTTTTCTCAGCCCTGCCAGTGAGCCACAACATCCCCAAGTAGCTGGAGAGCACACAACCCCCAGCAGGCAGGGCCTACAGTCCCTTTTGGCAGGAAGTAGCTTATATGAAGAGAGATCACCACACCCTCAACAACCCAGAAAGAATGATGGGGATTTATGCCTCTTGGGAAAATGAGGAAAGAGATTAGGGTGTGGCCGGCTATCTGGGCAAGTGGGTTATGACCTGTACATCATGGAGATCCAGGACACATGGGCCCAAGTGCTGCACCTGGGACCTATCAGGGACTATTATCTTCAATTTCAGGGGCACGGAATCAAGTAAGTTTTTGATAGGATGGCCTAGATCTGATGTCAGAATGAGGGATATAAAAGACAGAGGCCAGTAACCTGGTGGCCACTTAAGCTCTCTTTCAGTGGCCCGTTCTTACTGCAAAGTATACTTTTCCTACTTTTAACTAGCCCACGCTTCCTCTGTGGAGCATACTCCTTTTTCTACCTTTAATAAATTTAAAACATCACTACCTTTAAATTAAAAAAAGAATTATTATTTTTTTAAATTTAAAGGTAGTGATTTTTTTTTTTTTGTCTTTTTGAGACAAGGTCTCCTGCAGTTCAAGCTGGCCTTGAGCTCACTTTGTAGCCCAGGCTGGTCTCAAACTTGCAATGATCTTCCTGCCTCAGCCTCCCAAGTGCTGGGATTACAGACGTGCGCCACCACACCTAGCAAAAAATTTTTTACAAACACAGTTGTACAGTGGATAGGATCAACTGTGCCCACAGGACTCTCCTGTTTGAACAGATATTTAGAATCAAATATTTGAATTATAAAGTTTTAGAAATATCTCTTTTTTTTTAGAAATATCTTAAATGGGGGCTGGGGATTTAGCTCAGCGGCAAAAGTGCCTGCCTGGCAAGTGCAAGGTAGTGAGTTCGGTTCCTGATACCGGAGAAAAACCAAAAAAAAAAAAAGAAATCTCTTAAAGGACAGAGAAAGGAAGACTAAAAGAGTAATGAATATTCTGTGAATAAAATTTACTAGGTTTTGTGAGACTAGTATTCAATGTAGAAGTCTGTGGCTCATACCTGGATAAGACATTTAACAGAGAATAGATAAGGGACTGGGGATATAACTCAGTGGCATAGCACTTGCCTGGCAAGCGCGAGGTCCTGAGTTCGATTCCTGTGGAGGGGAGAATAGATAATGCAATATAGTTAGCCTGGCCAATAACTTGAGTCCAGAGGCTAAGGAAGTAACTCAGCGGTAGAGGACATGCTTAGCATACAAAAGGCCTTGGGTTCAATTTCCAGTGCTGTCAAAACAAAATGAAACAAAAAACCAAACGACTCTTAGCGAACCCCATTCAGAAATTACCCAAGCACTCTTTGCAAAAGCATCACCTGCATATCCAGGCCACATGACACCAGGCTCTGAGGCCTCTGAGGTCGAAAAGCGACAGAGGAACAGATATTGGAATGTCTCTTCAGGGACCTGCTAACTTTCTTATTTTCCAAGTCTAGAATTTTGATTGCCCCAGAGTCATCAGCAGAAGCCAGGAAGTTTTCAGTTTCATTCAGTGAAAGGCAATTGATTTCTTCTTCATTCACATGAAAATGGTCCAGGGAAGCTTTGAGGGCCCTGGCATCCAGGATGCTAATGGTTTCTCCATGTGCAGTGTAGAGCTTGGTGGGGCAGGAGTGGGAAAATACAACACTGGTCACGTCATCAGCGTCTGGGAACCTCATGTGTCCTAATGCAGTCCCATCCTCACCCCACACTGTAAGATCTCCACCCACTGCTCCAGAAGCCACTAGTCCGTCTTTACTTGCATTCAGGCAGAGGATGGGAGAAGAATGTCCACCAGTCCACTTGACTGCCATCATAGCCCAGGGCACTCTGTGAAGGGCAAGGAAAACTGCATCATGTTTCAGATAAGAACTTGATGACAGGATGTAACAAGCAGTATTTCACTTAAATATTTTAAGAAGACATCTTTAAAAACTCTGTAACAAAAGACTTTGTAAATGGAGAGGGGAGGAGGGGTTGAAGGGAGGATAGGGGAATAGGAAATAAAAAAGGAATCAAGCTATATCATGTACAGAAAATAAATTCTTTATGATGGATGTGATCATTACGTATATCTAAAATATACCAATAAAATCTGATTTAAAAAACCCCTTAGCAACAACAATAAAAAAACACTAAATTCAAGTCCAAATAAGCCTAGTTGAACACAGGCTTGTGGTGTGCTGGCTAGACAGGCCAAGGGAGAACTTACAAAGGAAAAATTCTGAGTTTACCATTCTCAGAGAAGATACTTGAATTTAATGATATAGAGATAAATTTCCAAATATTATTTCAAAAAATTACTTTAATCTAGCACTCTGCCTAAAAGTTTCTATTCTCTAGCCTCAATACAAAACTGCCTTTAAAAAAAAAAGACAGGGTATCATTATGTAGTTCGGGTTGGCCTCAAACTCACAGGAATCTTCGCCTCAGCCTCCTAAAGGCTGGGATTACAGACATGCACCACTACATCTGGTCAGAACTGTTTATTTCCTCCCATTTTTAGCCACACTATTTTCCCCTCACATACCCACTCACTAATTAGACTGCAAAAAAAATCACTGATATATTAGTGATCCAGATAAGAGACATGTCATAATATCAAATACAGCAATTTTCATAAATATGACCAAATGTGAAAATGACAAACATTTATTTCAGCAGACGCACACAATTAGTATATGGAGGAAACTAATCAAATAGAGATTGGCGCAAATAAGATTTAAAGGAGAGCCTTAGAAAGGAAGTGACTCAGAGGAAAACAAAGACAGGGAATCCCAGGGGTTTGTTTTTTGCTGACAAGTATTGGAATGGTAGTTAAATAATCCCCTGCCCTAATGAAGATTCTGTGTTCCCTTTGGCAGCACATATACATAACAAAGATTCTTGCCAAAAGTTCCAGAAAAAAACAGGGGAAAAAAAGATTATTTAGTTATTTTGGTATTGGGGATTGAAGCCAGGGCCCCAACCCTTAAACAATAAGTAAAGGTACTGATGTTATTTAAGTTTAGGAATTGTCATACCAACATATAATGGAGATCCTGTCCTACCTTAAAATACGAAACAACTTTGGAAAAACAATTTAACTTACAAATAAATTGTTTAACTTGAATTTGTAGGGTATTGACCTCTTTTCTAAGTTAGGGTTTTACTTTTGCTATGATGAATCCATTTTCTTTTCTCTTTTTCTTTCTTCTTTTGCTTTTTTGGGACAGGGCCTTGCTATACAGCTAAGGGTAGCCTTGAACTCATTACGTAGCACAGGCTGGCCTTGAATTCACTGCAATCCTCCTGTCTCAGTCTCCTGAGTGCTGGGATTACAGGTGTGCACCACCACACCTGGCAGATGACCCAATTTTTTTTTTTTTGACCCAATTTTAAAGTCATGAAATATGTATAGCTTTACAATTTGTTTTTATGTGTGTGCATACAGGTTTTGGATTCCCAACAGAACTTCAGGTTTTCAGTAAGAATGAGACAAAGCTTCTATTTCTCTATCAAAAATCAGCAGGACTGCCTATAATCCCAGCGCTCAGGAGGCTAAGGCAGGAGGATTGCTGCAAGTTCAAGACCAGGATACCTGGTACCAAAAAAAAAAAAAAAAAAAGACCAAGCTGGGCTACAAAGTGAGCTCAAGGCCAGCCTGAACTGCATGGTGATACCCTCTCTCAAGAAGAAAAAGAAACTCTACAGAACATCCAAATTGTTGACTGGCAGACAAATGCATTAGCAGGTTTCTTTCCAATACAGTTCTTTTCTGGAAAAAAATTAATTGTAAAAGTATATTTGTTTTTTTGTTTGTTTGTTTGTTTGTTTCTGGTACCGGGAACTGAACTCACAAGCTTGTGCTTGCCAGGCAGGCGCTGTGCCACTGAGCTAAATCCCCAGCCCCTGTAAAAGTATATTTGGTTAAGTTCTATTCCAAAGTATGAAAAGTTAGACAGTAAATGGATTTAAAGGGAATTAATACAAACAATACAGTTCCTATACATTTTCCATAATGGAACCAGAAGTAACCTGTATTAATTCTACAAGAAAAAAAAAATTCTATAAGACCCAAGAACAGTTCACAACCTTAAATTCTATGCACCAGAGTAAAAGTAAATTAAATTTCTAATCTTTAAATGACATGGATAATATTTACTGATTACTTTCCTAGTCAGAAAAAAAATCACAGACTAATTTTTGGAAATGTCAAAAAAGTTGGAAAAACCTCAAAAATCTGTAAGTTCTGTGAGGCTTTAAATTTTAATCAATCAGCATTTATCATACTTAGTACTGATCAAGGATTCAACCAGACCTTCTCAAATCATTTGCTTAGTCTCTTTTCTTTTTTTCTTTTGGTATTGGGAATTGAATTCAGGACCTTGTGCTTGCCAGGAAGGCACTCGTGCCACTGAGCTATATCCCCAGCCTGTGCTTAGTCTCTAAAATTAAAATTATTGGTTGTTATTTGAAACATATCCAAAGACCACCATCAGGGGCTGGGGATTTAGCTCAGTGGCAAAAGTGCCTGCCTGGCAAGCGCAAGGTCATGAGTTCCATTCCTGGTACTAGAAAAAAAACATGTTAAGCTGACTACTGTGGTAAAAGAAAAAATGTAATGAAATCTGGCTTCCATTAAAAGAATGTTTCAGAAAAAAACACAATGTTTCACAAGTAAGTTCTTGGCAAGCTACTGTTTCTTGTTTGTCTATCACTGAGACTGGAAAGCCTACCAAAAATAGGTGCCAGAATTCCCGCATTCCTGTATCAAGTATCAAGTGCACAAGGTGCTTTTCCTGTGCCTGGCCTAAAAGGTCAAGTACAGCAATTAATCATATCCTATTGTGGATATGATTACATAATAGATTCCTTCGAACACCTAATGAGATCATGGGATGGGTGAGGGTAAGGTGGGGTATTTTGAGAGCATTTCTAGAGAGGGTGGAGCATCACAGTGGCTGTCCTCAACAGCGCCAGGACAGAATGAGGGTCCAGTAGGGAAAGGGACAAAGTGAGGAAAGGCTGGTGAGCAAGTAAAAGACATAAAAAGAAGGGAGGGGAGCTGGGCATAAGCTCAGTGGCACAGTGCCTGCCTGGCAAGCATGAAGTCCTGAGTTTGAAGAAGGGCGTGATAAAGGTAATCTTTTCCTACTGTGAGATTCTACCGGGGCCACTTGGGGGATGGAGCATCAAAATTATCAGATCCTTCCAAGACTCTGTCTAACTTGTAATGAGTCAGGATAAAGGCCAAAGTCTTTAGTAAGTGAATAATCTCTACTTTCAGTGCTCTTCTCCAGTCACACCTCCATTCCCCTGCTTGTCTTTTTCAATGGTTTTGCTAAATTGCCTGCACTGGCCTCAAACTCCTGGGCTCCAGTGATCTTGTCTCAGCCTCTGGAGTGCCGGGACTGCAGATGCCACACACTACTGTGCCTGTAAAACTATTCATTCTGTGTGGTTCCTTACCTCTTCCTCGGATGGACAGACTCTACCCTGGAACATTTAAAAGAAACACATGACACTCTTTTCAGACAAAATTTAGTCTAACTCTCAGGAAAAACCTGAAAGTCACCCTTGCTTGATGCAGATCAACTTTTCTTCATAGGTTTGGGCTTCCTAAAGTTGGTCTTGATATGCAGATACTAGCAGTCAAAATGGTTGAAAAGTGCCGGGCGGAGTGGCGCACGCCTGTAATCCCAGCACTAGGGAGGCTGAGGCAGGAGGATCGTTGTGAGTTCGAGACCATCCTGGGCTACAAAGTGAGCTCAACGCCAGCCTGAAATGCATAGCAAGACCCTGTCTCAAAAAGAAAAAAAAAAAAAAAAAAAAAAAAGGTTGAAAGGCTGTGGCACTAGTATTGAAGAAAAATAATTTGGGTTACTGGGATTGGTGAAAAAGACAAGAAGGAAGAAGGGACTGGCAAGTAATAAACAAGTACATAATTATATCAAAGGGTTGGAACAGTAGTCGCTTTTTTTTGTTTTGTTTTACTAGAGAATAAGAAATGGATTAACATAGTAGGAAGTTTCAGGCAAGATTTCTTACTACATAAAGATTGCAAAACACTGGAACTGCCTACTAAACGAGTCTGTGAAACCTCTCATTATAATAATTACTTGAGAATTATATTAAAACCAGTTCAGGGGGCTGACAATACAACTCAGTGGTAGAGCACTTGCCTGGCATGTTCAAAGCCCTGCGATCCCCAGCACCACAAACAAACAAACGAACGACAAAACAACTAAGTAAGCCGCCTAGTATAGTGCCTGGCTCACACCATGGTCATCGTTATTCTACGCACATAAGCAAGTAAATGCTGACTGGCAGACAAATTTTTAGCAGATTTTCTTCCTAATATAAATTCTTTTCTGCAAAAGATTATCTCAAGCTGTTGTTCTTTAAAGGACCTCAGAAAAAGGTTGGGGCCCCGCAGGATAAATATAGTATGAACAAATGATGCTGAAATTCTTTCCTTTTCAAGAAACCAGCTATAATACAGCATCCAGGTCACTCTCCCTACCGGAATATTTAACTGTGTAAAACATTAATCTGCCTACGAAGCGGTGAATCTTGGAATATTACACTTTACACCCAAAGGTTAATTGTGGTTAACTTTGAGGTTATCCAAACCTGGGGACGGGGGTGGCTCGAGAGAGTATCCATTTGTAGCCACCGGAATTCCTAAACGCACCCCGAGACAGACGTTCTGAAAAGTACTCATACTCAGAGTAAGAGCCTGCCGAGGAAAAGACGTTCTCAGCAGCCCAAGGTAAAGAGGCTCGAACCTGGCCAGAAAAAGACGGCCCCAGCTGCCCAAGGTCTTTTACCACCAAGGAAAGAGAGGTTCCACACGTTAAGGTGGAGGCTGAAGCAGGAGCCAAGTAACACAGAGAAATTTTGTATGAAAACGCCGCGAGCCCATCGGACCAAAAAACATGCTCTGGAGAACAACCCCAAACTCACCCACGGTAAGCCACACATACCTGCGGTTCCCAGTCGCCTTCTCGGCGCCTCGTGATGACCTCACCAGCGACGCCCAATCCCAGCAAGCTTGGACAGCGAAGCCCCGCCCTCAAGCGGTCACATCCGGGGCTGAGAGGAACCGCGAGCAAGCTGGGCGTGCGCCCTTGCTTCTTGCCCTCAACTCGCATGGCGGAGCTGGGGGTTCGCCCCGGCGAGGCCGGGCGAGGCGGGCGGTTCCGGCGGCCGCGCTGAGCTGCGGGGGAGGGGCTGAGGACGCCGGTGCGGCCGGGCGTCTGCCCTCAGTGAGGCGGGGCGCGCCGCGGACGCCCCGGGGCAGGGGCGGGAGTGGTGGAGCGCTAGCGGCTGGCTCTGAAAGGCGCGGTGCGCGAGCTGCCGAGGGCTTGAGGCGAGGCTTGGCCTCCTCCCGAGCCGAGACGGGGGCCGGC